CTTCCAGGTCTCCAACGTGGGTGCAGGGGCCCAACGACTTGGGCCGTCTTCTACTGTCAAAGCTTGACTTTGAAAAATCGTAGAATACAGATGAAATAAAGGGAAATTCTCTTTAAGGGAAATTTATAGCTCTAATTGTATATTAGAAAATGAGAATAATTGGAAATTAATGTTATTTAACTTCAAAATCCTTTTTTAAAAAGATTAACATGTTAGATTCAATAAAAGTGCAGGCAGTTAATATTAAAATTAAATGAATGTTTAAAGACAAATATCAGCAAAAACTGCTTATTTGAAGAGAGACTTTTAGAAGTTTGTTTTAAAACACAGGAAAATATTTGCTACACAAAAATGAAAAAATTAAGAATTCATAAATATATATTGTCAGGAGTGAAAGATAATTTATAACTGTAGATATAGAGAATTTTTAAATATGAGAATTCTATGAGCAATATACCAAAAGTGTGAAGATTTTCATATAATACCTATTGTTTTTTGAAGTGTGAATTATCAAAATTGAATGAAGAAGAACCAGAAAACTCAAACCAACAATTATTAGAGAAATTGAGTTGAATTTTCAAAATATGATTTCACAGATGATATTTACAAACATTTGAAGAACAAATAATGTATTTTTTCACAAACTCTCAGAAAACAGAGATATAGGGGAGTTTTCAAATGAATTTTTTATGAAGGTAATTTATAAACTTGATATCAAACATGGGCAAAGGGTAAGAAAGGAAAATGTCATTTAAGAACACAGATGCCAAAATTTTTAAATGAGCAGATTGCATGAAGCAGTGTATTTTTAATATAACAATACATTATGGCAAAGCAGGTCTTAGTGCAATGATAGATCCACATCAGAAAAATCAATGTGAACTGTTAAGATATCAAAGACAAAACCTATAATCATCTCAATAGTTTTAGAAAAACATTTAATAAAATTTCAATATTAATTTCATGGTGTAAAAATATTCCTACTTTAAGTACAAGTGGGTCAGAAGGAAACCACCTTAACTTGATAAAGTTGTTTCCACTACAAACTTAAAACAATCACAAATAATGGGAACAAATTAGAAACAGATACAGAACATAGACAGAAATAGAAAAACAATGTTTACTGTTTGTCTTACTATCAGATGTTAAATTGGAGGTCCCCAACCCATCCAATGAGATAAGGGGAACAGGCATCAGAAGTGTACTTTACAGATAATGGTTATCCAAAGAAAAATATGGATAATCTACAAATAAGCTATTTAATAAGAAAGTTCACCATTTTTGTAAATAAAACCACTTTATTCCAGAATCTACAGCAGCAGCAAGAAACTTAAAAATTTAATAGAAAAAAGATCTGAATTTATAATAGCAACAGAAGTCGTACATAGAAAAAAATCTGACAAAGACATACAAGAGTTTTATCACCAAATTAGAAAATGTTTTTGAAGGATATTTAAAAATCAACATAATATTAATATATTGGATGACAGAATTTTATAAAGATGTCATAGCTCCCCAGATTGAACCTATACATTTAACTCAGCAAAATGCCAAAAAAGATCTTCAATGGAACTTGACAAACTGATACTAAAGTTAGTATAGAAGTCCAAAAATAGATAGTACAATTCTAAAAATAAACAAAGGTACACACCCTTCTACATATCAAAACTTTTCATTACACCACAGTCATTAAGAGTGTGGCATTGGCTCCGAATTGGTTTGATCAGTGGAAAAGGACAAACTGGGGACATATCCATGCGTATATGGAAACTGTACAATCATGGGGGCTGTAATACATTCATAGGGACACAGTTGGCTGCTTGGCAAACAAGGTCATGACAGGCTTTCCATGAGGGTGAGCGGGAAGAGAAAAGTTAAATTGCTACTTTACACCATTCAAAAAGGTAAGTGCCAGATAGATCAGTTTCATGGGTGGAAAGCAAAACTTTAAAATAAGGAAAAAGAGGTAAGAGGGTATGTGGATGCCTCAGGTGTGAAGAGAGCTGTTTTTGTTTTTGTTTTTTTTTTAACAAGGCACAAATGACACAAAGTATTTAAAAAAAACACATCAACAAATATGATAATGTTTTAAATCAGCTACAGTGCAAAAGAGATCAGAAACAGTTCAGAGATGAGCTGCAGACAGAGACAATATATCTGGCATTTATATGCATCAGCTCCTACAAATCAAGAGCAAAAGAGAGAAAAACACACACAGCCTACTGGAGAAATGAGCGGGGACTGTGAAAAACCCATTACAGCCTTTCATACCTAAATAGCCAATAAATAGAAGAAGAAAACCTCAGCCTCATTAGCAGCGAGGGAAATTCAAATAAAAGCAGAAGATAATGGGCTTTTGCAAACTCACATGGCAAATAAGAAAATTTAAGAAATGAGGAAGGTCTGAGTCTAGAAATTGTGAAAGGTTATGTGAGGAATACAAGGGTTTCCATGCATGGCTAAGGGTGCCCAGATCGAGAACCCCTTGGCAGACTGCATTAAAACTAAAAAATGCATGTGCAGCCATGCAGTTCCCCAGCGGGGCAGATACACAGAGAAATTCTCACATATGTGCAAGGAAAACATGTACAAGTAATTCCAAAATACTGGCAGCAGCTTAAATATTCATCAGGAGGAGAATGAATAAGCACCACACATTCATATGCATGCACCTACAATATAGCAATTAAAATGAATGAACCAAATCTATATTTATCAACAGGAAAAGAAAAAAAACAAAAACACACTATGAAGGGAGTGGGGGAGCCACAGGAATGATATGTGCAGTCTGTCACCATGTGTGTAGACTTTAAAAATCACACAGGGCAATAGTCTGTGCTTTATGAGTTCACGTGCAGGAGAAGTGAGAAATCTAGTTTGGAAAGTTCCATACCAAATTCGCGATAGTGTTTGCCTTTGGGGAAAAGGGCGGAGAACGGTATTGGGGTGGAGTACATAGGGGTCTTCAATTGTATCAGAAATGTACAGAGTTCCACATTAAAAAAATAAATATGAAGCAGTTATGACAGAATGTTTACAGCTATTAATAAGGAGACAGACACATGGGTGCTTGCAAATTCTCCCTGAATCTCTGTAATATTGTTACATTTTTTCTAAATAATAAAATGTCAAGGAAAACAGCCACTATGCTGTCTCTGGTAGGATTTTAATGTATAGATTGAGAGTTCATCATCTAAAATTTTGAGACAAGGAACTTCAGCAAACATCAGTTTTAGAAAAGAATCTCTTTAAAAATAATAAAGCTGACAATATGATTTAAAAACTGCTGCAATGAACAAAGTCATTCTATAGGTATCAACATGGATGATTTTTCAGAAATCACAGGACAGAGGAAAAACAAGTTGCAAAATGATGTGTACATACACTGCTACACTGTAAAAAATCTGCAATACACGAGCATGGATGCATACATATATATGTGCACATACAGGTAATTAAGTAATCAAGGTATAATAAGAAATGCTGGGAGAACACACACTTCATAATCGGGATGATTTAGGGGCACTAGGGAGGGAGGGAGGCGAATCAGACTGGGGACGGTGTAAAAGTGACATTCAACTCTATCTGTAATGCTTAATGTCAACAAAACATCTGAAGCAAACATTTTAAAAAGCAGCATTTGGTTGTTCTCAGCAGTAAACAACACAAACATAAGTTATTCTTGATGTATAGGAATACTTTAATTTTCAAAAAGGAAAGAAAAGTCCTGGAGAATTACAAATAAAAAGCAGATAATTCAAAAATATAGAAGTAAATCTGTGTACATGCAAAACTGTGATATGACAGTTTGTAAGAAATATCCTGTGTGTTCCCCTGTGTGCTTTTATATTTAGATAAGAAGGAGGGGGGAATGACAGCGATGGAGACACGTACCAGGAATTCTGTGACATATATTTGCTCGTAGGAAAGCCAGAGAAACCATCTCAAAACGCCATCTGAACAACTCTGTCATTTGCTGCATTTTCCTATTTTAAATTTTTCCTCCAAAGAAAAACAGAAGATGCTGCCTAATTGGAAACGTGACTTTCTATTATTAAAATTGTGGGAGTCCATTTTAATGTGTTTATCTCGCTGCTAGGCTGTGATTTATATTTCAGCGTGGAAATTTGTTTGTGCGCCTGTGACAGGTTAATGCAGTTTAAACATGCATTTTTCTCTCGCTGCTTGAATAGTTAAATCGTTACTCAAAGGATTTTTTAAGTTTCAATTTCAACCATGAGAGGATTCTTCGCGTTCGCAAGGATAGAGATGTTTCTGGTTGGAAACGCTGTTAATTAATGGCCGCGTCGTGGACCTACTTGGGGACTTGCTGCCGACCCTGGATTAACAGTTCCACTGCTGAATAAGAAAACTTTTTTTTTTTTTGAGGCGGACTTCGGGGATATTTTTCCATTTGGACTGAGAGCGGTGGACGCGAGCGAGACGCCAATTCCAAACCACTCCGCCAACAATCGCAATTACGGACCGAAAAGACAGGTCAGGTATTAGCCGTATATATCTATTTTTTCCCCTTTAAAAAAAAGTTTCTCTCGGAGCCGCCGGAGTCCCGGCTGGCGGCGGCCCAGCGGGCGCGGGGGGCGGGCCGGCCGGCGGCTGCCCAGAAGTTACGACCGGAGTTTTCGCTTTATTACAATTACCTGCTCGCCAGCCGGAGAGGGACCGCGGGAGACAAGACAATTTCTCCGGCCGCTAAAAATGACTTAGCCGGGGGCCGCGCGCTGCCGGGGGTGTCCTGAGGCCCGGGGCGGGTCCCGCCGCCCCCGCGGGCTCCGGTGCGTCAGGCGCGCGTCAGGCGGGGCGGGCTCCGCGCGGGCGGCGGCGGCGGCGGCGGCGGCGGCGGCGGCTGTGGCGGCGGCGGCGGCGGCTGTGGCGGCGGCGGCGGCGGCGGCAGCAGCAGCGGCGGCGGCTGCTGTGGCAGCGGCGGCGGCGGGCGGCGCGCGCCGAGCCCTCCGGCTCCTCGCGCCGAGGCTGCGGGACGGACGCTCCCGGGAACTCTCTGGCCCGCGGCCGGCCGCGCTCGGACGCCGCTCGCCGGCGGCAGCGCGTCCCCAGCATGTCGGCAGCCGTGGCGTGCCTGGACTACTTCGCGGCTGAGTGCCTGGTGTCCATGTCCGCGGGCGCCGTGGTCCACCGCCGCCCGCCGGACCCCGAGGGCGCGGGCGCAGCGGCAGGTTCGGAGGTGGGTGCGGCGGCGGCGATACAGCCGCCGGAGTCCGCTCTGCCGGGTCCGGGACCCCCGGGACCCGCCGCGTCGGTCCCCTCGCTCTCCCAGGTCCCCGCCCCTAGCCCCGGCGCGGGCGGTGGCGCGCCCCACCTGCTGGCTGCAAGCGTCTTGGCTGACTTGCGCGGCGGCTCTGGGGAGGGATCCGGGGACAGCTCCGGGGACGCTCTGCTCGCTGCTTCTGCCTCCTGCGACCCGACCCCGAACTCCGGCCCGGCCCCGAGCCCCGAGCCGGGCCCCGCCTCCGGCGAGGCAGCGGTCTCCGGACCGGAAAGCTCCCCCGGCGCGCCCGCCGACCTGAGCGCACCTGCTGACCATGGCGCACCTGCAGTCACCGGCGGGGGGTCTAGGGGGGCCCCGGGGGCCGGCCGCGCCCCTGCCGCGGCCCCGACGCCCCGGAGGAGACCTGTCACGCCAGCCGCCAAGCGCCACCAGTGCCCCTTCCCGGGCTGCACCAAAGCCTATTACAAGTCATCGCACCTGAAGTCCCACCAACGCACCCACACAGGAGAGCGCCCTTTCTCCTGCGACTGGCTCGACTGCGACAAGAAGTTCACGCGTTCCGACGAGCTGGCCCGCCACTACCGGACGCACACAGGCGAGAAGCGCTTCTCCTGCCCCCTGTGCCCCAAGCAGTTCTCCCGGAGCGACCACCTGACCAAGCACGCCCGCCGCCACCCCACCTACCACCCCGACATGATCGAGTACCGGGGGCGCCGTCGCACCCCCCGCGTCGACCCCCCGCCCCCCGACTCTGGCTCCGGCTCCGTCCAGGCCCCCAGTCTCACCACCTGCCTATAGGACAGTCACTGCTGTCTATTGTCCCCTCAAGGACGATCCCTCAGGCTGCTGTTTTCCTGCCTTTTGTCCGCCCACTCCTCTTTTCCAGGCACTCCTCTACACCCAGGCACAGACTGGTTCTCCACTCCGAGGGCGGGTCCAGGCGAGCTTGTCGGACACGGGGGAGGGACTGGGGGCGTGAATTCTTGCAGCACTCATAGCAAGGGGGTGGGGCTGCCTGGAGACAAGCCCCCCAGGAACTGGTGAGAAGGGATGAACTACGGTACTCGCCAGAGTACTGAAGATTCTCCCCTCCCTGGAACCAGAGGAGCGAAGCAGGAATTCTCAGATCCCAAGGAGCTCTCAGTCTCAAAGGACTCTGGTGTCTCACTAGGGTGGACCTTGGAAAGGGTGTCAGGGGTGGCAGTCTTGGAAATGTCCAGGACTGGGATGGTGAGAGGTTTTTGGAAACAGAAATGATTTCTATTTCTGTAAACAGCAATGTTTACTAATTTATTTTTAGTATCTTTTAAACAGGAATTCCAGGTTGATGGGAAGCTAATGCCCTTCACTTCCCCCAATTGCCCCCAGCCACCTCTACTAGGAGAGAGGCTATTTAAGTATCCATGTGGATGTGTGGCTGGGGGGCTTCTTGCTGTCTGGGGAGTGGTGTCAGTCTGTTGGCAGGTCCTGTTGCATGACTTGGAACCCTAACTTGCGTCGCAGCCCTTCTACCCTTGCGGTGTCCTGCTTGGGGTTGATAACTTCCTGGCTTGCTTTCGTGGTGAAATCGTTAAAAGTGTTTGAAAATAATCATAAAATATCAGAAAGAAAAGGATGCTTCAGACTAGTTCCCCCTTAACTCAGATGGCAAATGCAAGCAACCTTGGGGGTGGGGCAGGGCCAAAGCAAAACCTTTAAAAACCATTGGTAATATTCAGGGAAATAGGGGCATGTGGCCCAGGCTGACCCTGTCCCACCCCAAATAATCTCCCCCTTTCCCCCATAAAGGAATCAGGCATCAATGGTATTTATTTTTTCTATATATGTCTCTGCTGCTATGGGTGAAATTGTTGACCACTCTGCTTGTGTATGTGTGGAAATATATATTTGTGATTCTTTCATTGGAAATGAGGCTGAAAGGCATTTTCTGTGCTGGTGAAATCCTCGCTTGTCCCCTCCTGAGTATCATGTAATATCAATTACACTTTTGGAAAATGCCATAATCTCAGACATCTGATTAAACAAACCACTTTCACCAATTTTGCAGATGAACATACTAAAGCCTAGATCATCTCAAAGTCATATGCTGAGTGGCTTGCAAGAGCCATGACTAGAACTTCGATGTCTGGCCTTCTGAGTGACTCCTCCCTTCACACTTGGTTACCCTATCTCCTCTCCCCCTCCCCCATCCTGGGACCTTAGTCAAAGGACACCACTCTGCCTTCCTGCCACCGGAATCCCTCCTACCCTATTCCCTCTCACTTCTATATATTTTCAACTCTCTGGTCTTTGCTGGGTGCTTTGCCTGTTGTGTCTAACCCAAAAATTCTTTCCTTAATGAGCTAAGTCTGTTTCCTTCCTCCGCACTGCAGACTTAGAATGATTCTTTGGCATCCTGGGAAAGACCTTATCTTTGAACCTGCTAGATTAATTTTCAGTGCAAATTCTCCTTTTCCTGGTCCTGGTCCTGGGAGGGAGGGGTCCTTAGAACCAGAGGTTCTCACCTGTGACCCTGAAGAGGTTCAGTGTGTCCTAATGAGTGCTAAGCAGGGCAGGTGTCATGGTCCTTGAGTTACATATAGGATGAGGAGCCCCTCTCCCCCGCCCCCAAGGTGTGGAGGTCATTGTTGATAGTAGGAAGAGTCCTTTTTCTGTCTGTCTCCTTAGCTGGTGGTAGAGAGATGGGGCACTAAAGACTCCACTGAATGGTTTCCCCTATTGTCCCCTTTGGTAGATCTGCCATTAAGTAAGTGGACAAAGGAAGCTAACAGACAAGGAATTTCCACTAACCATTCTGGGATTGGGCTCAGGAAATCTTGGCTTTTGCACCTATCCATGGATAAATAACATTTATTCTCAAGCTCCAAAATAGTGTCTGTATTTGAGCTCTTCTTCCATGAGGACTTTTACATGATGATGGCCTCTGACCACCTACAAGTGACATGTATTTCATTGACAGAACTGACTCCTTCAGGGTCTTGGTGTGCTGGGGAAAGAGACACCCAGGACCTCAAAGTAGAAATATGTTGGAGGCGTGATTTTTAGGCTTGTCTTTCTTAATCTGGGTATTGGTGTTAGCCTTTTCACTCCAGTGGCCACATAGTTATTGAAGTGTCTTGCAAGGGCTTTCTTCATTTTATTAGTGTTTATTTTGCTTCATTTTGTTAATCAGATGGAGCTCAGTGAGTGACTATGTCTGGGGTTTGGTTGGGATCAGCCTGAACCTCCAGATCCTTGCCCAGCCCGCGCCATACAAAGATTGGATGTAGGAATGACCTAGTAACAGAATATATGAATAGAAGCCTTCCTGATATCTGGGTTGGAAACTGGAAATTAATTCCGAGTCAGACTTTGGGCATGATTTGAACCCTTTGATCCTGCTGAGAAGTGAAGAGTGTAGGCTTTACTTCCACACCTGAGGCAAGAAAATCAATGGTCCCAATTTCCTTATTTTTCTCCACACAGGAGCCATATTAAAATAGCACTCTTGACCCTGTCTCTACCTCTCACTTCTCCCCAAATGAAGATAGCGACATGAGGAGGGTCATTATACATACACATACATGCACTCTTAAATTCCCTTATCAGTTTTGCACCTCCCTACCTGTAGCGTGTATGCAGTCAACTCGGATCCTGTTATCATGTGGTAAGCATACCTGCCGAGGCCCAGGTCTGACTTCCAGAAGCAGATCTGAAGAGCATCTCTCCTGCTTTGGGGGCAACTAAGTCCCTTGCCACTGTCTAGGTAAGTATTTCATTTGCATATCCCAAGACCAAGAATTGGAAAGGTTTAGGGAGGCAGTATATTAGCCCAATTTTGATCACGATACAGATTCATCAGCAAAGTACTAATATCTTTATCTTCATTAGTCTGGTCTGTTACTCATTTGGTTGAGAACTTGGGCAGGGAAGGGATATAATTAATTTTCCCCCTAAGCCACGACACATTTAAATGTGCATTGTCTATTAAGTCTTAAATCAGCACTTCAACTAGAATTAAGGGCCAGAAATAATTTCTATGTGATGGTGGGACATCTGGTATACCAGGGCCTTCATACTTTAATGGTCTTGGGCCCTTCAGTTCTTTGGCCTTTTTAAGTTCTGCCAGCTTAGGGTAGCTAGTGTCTACTGTCAAGCCACTATTCTGTTAGAGGCACTGGGCATAGGCCTCTGCAAAAGAGGGCTGCACAAAACACTGTCGCTGATCTTAATTCCCATTGATACAGCTGAGGCAGGTTTACTGCAGAAGAAGGCACTGTCCCATCAAGTGCATCAATTTGTGCTGTCATTCTCAGCCAAAATTGCTGGTGAGGATTTTCAGATGCAATGTTGGAAGTTCCAAATATCCTTAAGAACAGGAGTGTGTGGCCAGCGCCGCGGCTCACTAGGCTAATCCTCCGCCTTGTGGCGCTCGCACACCGGGTTCTAGTCCCGGTCGGGGCACCGGATTCTGTCCCGGTTGCCCCTCTTCCAGGCCAGCTCTCTGCTGTGGCCAGGGAGTGCAGTGGAGGATGGCCCAAGTGCTTGGGCCCTGCACCCCATGGGAGACCAGGAGAAGTACCTGGCTCCTGCCATTGGATCAGCGCGGTGCGCCAGCCGCAGCGCACCAGCCACGGCGGCCATTGGAGGGTGAACCAACGGCAAAGGAAGACCTTTCTCTCTGTCTCTCTCTCTCACTGTCCACTCTGCCTGTAAAAAAAAAAAAAAAAAAAAAAAAAAAAAAAAAACCAACAACAACAACAGCAAAAAACACAGGAGTGTGGAAGATTCTAGCCCATAAATTGTGCAGGCAATGATCAGGTAGCATTAGATCAGTTTTCACCTAACATGATCTCCCTTTATCGTGATTTGAACTGCATCACTTTATAGGGCCAGAGAGAAACCAAGCACTTTATTTCATATGGGATAGACTCACTCTCTAATTATGTACCAAATATTATATTCCACGTATATGGAATGGAAGTACATAGAGATTGGAGGAAAAGAGAAGCAATACTGATAGAATGTCAGGGATAGGACAACATTGTTCCTGGATGCTTCTCTCTGTAGGCATCGGGCCAATGTTGATTAAGCTGGAGGAAGAGAAGAATGTAGAAGAAAGGTTCTATCTTTAGGCGGTAGGATTGTTGGTATGAAAGCAGTATAAGAAATGCCTGGACCTAACTAATCTTAGAGATGAGATTGTAAAATGTGGTGGCATTTTAGTCATTATTAGGTTCCAGGAGCTGATTGGGCCCCAAAGAGATCTACCAGAAGGACAGAAGCAAGTTTTCAAAGAGAAAATGGGAATGCCCACCTCCACCCCAGAGCTCAGGTCTGGGGAAACACTGAGAAGTACCTGCTTCAGTTTGCAGAGAAGGCCATGAAAAGTTATCCCTGCAACCCTGAGACAGGTATGCTGGTGGTTACAAAAATGCAGCTAGGATTGTGAACATTTTTTAGTGTTTAGTAATAGTACCATTATCAGTAGGCACTGAGAGTCATGGACTTGGAGATTGTACAGGATTAAGAGAAAAATGTAAGAAGATGTACATGAAATATATCAAGATAATTAATGAAAGGAATAGAAATAGGAAGGAAAAGGCACAATCATCTCAATATGTTCCGAAAGGAGTACATATTAAAACTCAGCACCAAATTGTGATTAAAAAAAGTCTGTAAACTATTGACAAAAAACTAATTTCTTAAATTGATAAATAGTATTTACCAAAAGCCTACTGTAAACATCAAGCTTGAATATTGAAAGATTGTTAGCATTCCTAATGTATATATGATAAGACAGTTTTTTTTTTTTTTAAGAGAAAGAAGGAGAGACAGAGAGAGGTCTTCCATGTGCTGGCTCACTCCCCAAATGGCCACAATGGCCAGAGCTAGGTGGATCTGAAGCTAGGAGCTTAGTGCCTCCCCCAGGTCTCCCACATAGGTGCAGGAGCCCAAGCACTTGGGCCATCCTCTGCTGCCTTCCCAGGCACATTAGGGTGTGAGATAGAGTAAAAAAAAAAAAAAAAAAAAAAAAAAAAAAAAAAAAAAAAAAAAAACCTCCAGGCAGATAATAACATAAAAACACAACAAAAATGATGTCACTGAAAATTTGTACTTTTGCAAATGTATATAACTAAGATAAAAGGAGGAAATTAAAAATTTAGAACTTAATAAAGAATCACCATACAGCAAGCAAACAGCACCAGGGGAAAAAGTGTAATTTTTATTCTTAAACTTTTTATTTAGAAAAATATCGAAAGTGGATGACCTAAGTTTTCAACTTTAGAAGAAAAAGACAAAAACACTCAAAGAAAGTAGACAGAGACAGTCTATAGATTGTGCTTTCTCAGTTGCATAGCTATTGCCCCCCAAGAGAGAAAAAATTGTTTTTTATTGGGGAAAAAAAAAACACAATATATATCACAATGGTTGTGGCCTCCAAAAAGGCATACTACATCAGTAGATATCCACTTGATGTTTGGTTTAAGATTTTATAAGGGCAGGGGACAAGGAGTGATTAGGAAAAAAAATAATTCTAAATGAGTTATGATGAAAAATATTACCATAAATGAAAATCAGAAATTAATGCAACAGAAGAAATTAATGAGTACAGCTGAGTAAAAACTCTTTTAAAAGCTTTAAAAATGGATTTTTTTTTGGCAAATAGGAATTAAAATTAAGAGAGCTGGCACAAAGAAAGTCATCAAGAATTTTAAAATGACAAAATCCTAATCCATGAGTAGATTTTTAATTATGAGACAATAATACAAGTAGCTTAATATCAGTAGAATTGAAAATAGATGAATACTTTTATGAGAAAACTGCAAAATTTAAAACTGGTCTAGAAGATATAGAAAATCTGAAATAGAATTAGTAGTCTAAGATCTGTGCCCTCAAAAGACACTATGTTTGGGCAGTTCTATAGG